GTTTCTCTGGGGAACCCAAACTAAGACACCCACCCAAACCATATGGACTGAAAGGGGAAGATCAGCTCCCTAAAGGAAAACCAGGATGCTGATACTAGAAGGGGGCGGGGGGAGTCAAAGAAAAGATCTGCTCTTCAGCTACTATTTTTAATGACTGCATGATATTCCCTTGTACAACTGGGTCATAATTTATTTACCTATTGCCCTATTAGTTAACACTGTGGTGGCCACCTTAAACATACAGCTTTGTGTATGTTTTTTATTTCCTTATGATGCATTCCTAAAAGTGGAATTGGTGGATCAAAGAATATAAAACAGTTTTTAAAACTTTTCCCTTCTTTATCCTCCAGAAGGTGGTAGCAATTGCTATTTCCACCAGAAGGCTGCCTGTTTCTCTGCACCCTCACAGTTCTGTATTGTGGTTCTTTATCCCTAAAAACCTAATAGATGAAAAATGGTGTCTTAAGTCTTTTAGATGTCTTAACTGTTGAGGCTGCACATTTCTTCTATTCCTTTTGTGAGCTATGTGTTCAATCTTTGAGGTGTTAAAGAGTTTTTCTTATCTCATGACAAGAGCAGATTAGCAAATTTTAAAGCCCTCTCCCGTGGGCTCCCTCACCACAAAGAACGTATATTCTTGTCAAAACATGAAAGTACACGTTAGAAACGTGACTAAATTGGTGACAGAATAGAAAAGTTGTGTGTCAGAAAGATGAGGCAAAGGACTCAGAGCAAAGATATAGACTGGAAGGATCAGGAAAAGCTCATCTTAGATGATGAGACCTAGACCTTGGAAACATGTGTCCTGCAGATGGCAGAAAGGAAGAGGGAAAGCAGGGAGAACCGGAGGCCATGCACACGTGGAATGAATTCGTTAATGAATAAAAGAAGGCTCTAGTGAGTAACAGAAAAGTCACAGAAAACTTCATAAGAAACAGGAGTTTGCGGCAGCGGGGTAGCCACGTGGTAAGACATTTTAGGAATATTAATCTGGGATGAGGATAGAAAATGAACTGAAGCTGGGGAGACAAGATGACTTCAATAGTAGTTTTGTCTTTTTGGTGGAGTGGCTGGATCGAGGCCCTAGAGAGGACTGTGAAGGTGGGATGGAGAACAAATTCAAGAGACTAAATCAGTAGGACTTCATTGTAGTTATGAAATGCAAAGGAAAGTGGGCAGAGGCTTCTGAAGCAGAGAATAGGTGAGATCTGATGCCTGTAACAGAAATTAGGAAACAGGACTAGGTTTGAAGGTAGGAGCGAAGAATAAGGATGAGTTTGGCTTAGGAGAAAGTAAGTCTTCAACTGTACTGCTTCGTGCCTCTAGGCTGCTGAAAATGTTTAGTGGCAGATGTTGATGTGGGAGACATCTGCACAACCTAATGGTAGCTGAAGAAATGAAATGATCTCTAGTTAGAAAAGGGGGCTTCGGGGTTGCCCACGGTGAGGAAACACCCAAGGTGATACTTGTGTGTCAGCCGTGAGGTAGCAGAAAAGGTCTAGGAGTGTGCCCATCTCCCTCCTTCGTGCCCGATCACACCCACCACCCTGCTTGCTGCTGTATGATTGATGGTGCTTTTCTTGGAGAGAAGTGGTCTGGCTTTGAAAGAAACAGCCAGGTTTTAGCATGCAGCCTCCTGCAGTGATCCATGGACAGGCAGGCTAGGTGCCACTTGTTAACGGAGGGCTGAACATCTGTGCTTTGCTTTATACGTCACCAAAATGTCTTCTCATCCATTATTTTTGCATCGTGGAACTTCAGGGTGGAAAGAGACCTTCAGATAAGGTAGTCCATTCCCAATTTTAGAGACGAGGAAACTAAGGCCCAAAGTGACTTGCCTAGTATCACACAAAGTGGGAGGAAAAGAACTTCCATTTTAGCTTTCAACAGAAGTCACTGCTCACCTGGAGGCCTAGAGTCTGTCGCCACAGATGCAGTTATTTCCAGAGCTCTGAAAGGTGAGGCATGGGGACAGAGTATCCTTTCCTCCTCACCCCAGCGAAAATGCACAGGTCACCAGTATATTATTTTAGAGAATTTGTTACCCATTTATTTCTTGGTTAAGATAAAAACTTATAAATTTCCACTGTTTCTAAGAGTCTCAGTACTTTTGAGAAATGTCAGTATCCTTGTAAAGACAAACATTTCATTTGTTTCCCTGTTGTGATCTATAATTCTTCACTCCTGACATGTATTTTGTCACCCTTTTACTAACAGTAGGTTATTTTTCCAGAAAAGCAGCTTTAAATCACTCTCTCCATAAAAATAATGATAAAATGGGAAGGTGTTTCTGCTACCTTCAGTTTTCTCAAAAAGAAACAGGGAAACACATTAACAACTATATTTAATGTGACACAGTATAATGTACCAAAAAAAATCATTTCACTTCCTTCTACCCATTGCATTATTTTTAGAACTTAATGACTCAGGAGTGAAAGATTCACCAACAGGTGTGTGGATTCAGCTTCTCTGGAGAGATTTTTACAGGCTGCTTGAGACTTTGAGAGGCAGTGTGACTTAGGGCTACTTGACGTTCTTTTGAGCAGCCATTCCAGGCATGCCTCTGTATCTCACTGGAAGTGTCCCTTCTGTAAACGTAGGCCTTGAACTAGTGAGTAGCAGATTATTCTATTCGCTCTGAAAGTTCTTTCTTTCCCGAGTTGTCATCTCAGCTGCTTCACCTTGTACCCCAGGGTACAACAAGGGGCAGGCGGCTGCTTTTAAGACACACAATTCCAATCCTAAGGAGCATCACTTTTTCACTCTAGCACAGTACTCTGCACAAAGTAAGGGGTTCAAATACCTATTTAAATAATAAAGAAACAACGGGTTTGTAATCATCACTAAACACTCCATTACCATGGATTTTAACAAACGAGACTCTTTCCTATTCCCTCTGAAGCATTAATATATGCTAGCCATTTTACCCCATCTTATTTAATTCTCACGATAATCCTGTGAAGTAGTTAGTATCCCTACTAACTATTAGAGACGAGAAATGAGGTTCAGAGGTTAACCTGCCCAAAGTCAAACTATTCGTTGCAGAGCCAGGAACCAAACTTTGGTCTATCCGGCTGCAAAGCCTGAGCCATTCCCCTGCATCCTGCTCCCTCTTCTTGAGGTTATAAAAGGAGACACTGTCAAATGGGAGGAAGTTTCTTCATCCACTAATGAAACTGGGGAGGAGTCTGTAGGAAATCCCATACGTCACTGCTGTAAGACTATGTGATCCACTCCATACATAATTGTCAAGGATACTCTGAATCCGTTAAGAAACTGATTAAAGTTTATGACAAATCATATAGGCTTTTTACTTAAATACTCATAACATTTCTCAGTTGCAGGCAATCTAATCTCCTTCAGACCCTAAACCTATGTAAATTCACAGGCTTATAGATTTTTAAGTCCTAATTATCTAAAAAGATCCCCTGGGGCTTCCCTGGTGGCACAGTGGTTGAGAGTCCGTCTGCCAATGCAGGGGACACAGGTTCGTGCCCCGGTCCAGGAAGATCCCACATGCCGCAGAGCGGCTGGGCCTGTGAGCCATGGCCGCTGAGCCTGCGCGTCCGGAGCCTGTGCTCCGCAACAGGAGAGGCCACAACAGTGAGAGGCCCGCGTACCACAAAATAAATAAATAAATAAATAAAAAGATCCCCTCATTTCACAGATGAGGAAACCAGAAAGGTTAAATTTGTTTAGCAAATTTTATTTAGTTATCAGGGGCTAGATTTGGCTTTAGCCCATATTTAAATGTGAAGAGTATCACACTTCTTAAATAAAATTAATTATAACTCGTCCGGGGCCTTCCCTGGTGGTCCAGTGGATAAGACTCCATGCCCCCAATGCAGGGGGTCTGGGTTCGATCCCTGGCTGGGGAACTAGATCCCACATGCATGCTGCAACTAAGAGTTCACATGTCACAACTAAGAAGTCCGCATGCTGCAGCTAAAAAAGAAAAAGAAATTCATCCGTACACAGCTATTTTGTATCAATACCAACATTTATCTGCCTCAGTTGCACAATTATAACTCAACAGAGACCATCTCTGATTTAAAGTCTTTAAGTAGCTAGACCTGTTCATACTAATGTCTAATAAAAGCTATTTCTCTTTAATTTCCACAGAACTTGCAGTATGGGGCTGGCACACTGGTCCATAATACTAGCTGCATGTTAGCTTAGCAGTTGGCTTCTACTCAAGGAAATATTTCCAATGTGTGGGTGTTAAAAGTTTCCTGCCATTTCAGTCCAAAAAAATCTCAAAGTAAATAAAACTACTGTTTTTCTAAACATAAATTCAGTAGTACTAAAATAGTTAATTCTATAAACTGAATTATTTTTTCATGTAACATTTTAAATTTCTGTATACCACTTGTAGTGTTTAAAATTCTACTCATGGCCCCTACTTGATAGATGTGTTATGAAACTGCAACCCAGGATTTGTAGAACTTGGAGAATTCATAAAGAAATAAGACCAGTGAGGGAAGGGTCAGTTTTAGAAACTGCTGTGAGGATATCTGACATGAATGTAAGTAACCCTAAAGGGTAATTTTAGCACAGACCTCAATTATAGGAGTGATAATAGAAAGCAATAAGCAGCTATGCTCTATAAACCCCTGAATTCCAAGCAAGGAGGAAATGGTGATAGCACTAAAATGAAGCACAAGAGAAATTTTCTAACTATAGTAGGGTTCTGGGATCCCCTACCCAGGATTCTTCTCCAAGTGTTTCTGAAATGGAGAAGCTTTTGGTTCTCTGGTGGGGGACTGGCAGAGTATGCAGATAGTAAAGATACCCAACATATGTGAACGACACTTGTGACACAACTAATTGCCCTTCCTTTCCTCCAGGATTTTGAAGCATAAAGCCATTTTGTTGAGGGAAGGGGAGAAGAGAATCATAGTCCTTCCGTTAAGGAGAGTCCATGCATCTCACCCATACAGGGACCATGATTCCAAAAGACCAACCAAACTTTTACCAAGTGAGCAGGCTGCCAGGAACAATTCCAGAAATAAGACTTCTATATAAAGACAGAAAGAAATACAGCAATCTAGCATATATGCAAAATAATATCCAAAGATACATAGTTTTTATCAGCCAACCTTTATGAACGCTAACGTAGTCAGTCCTCCTATTTTTCCTTATCACTAGGTTTTTTTGAAATACAGTTAATCATACATTTATTTGAAATTTTAACAGAAGGGCAAGAGCCTCCATTTCTTTCTGGTCTGCATAACATATGGTACCCACGTCGAACCTTAAGTGATGATGCTGTTGTGTGGCACGGGTGTGGTAACATCTCCACTGGGACAGGGGTTACTGACTGCAACCACAGCACTTTTCAAAGGCATTTACCTATGGTTTAGAGTTGGGCATTTGGGGTTTGAAGCAGAGCTTCCTACAATTTAGTACTGTAATTTCTCCACCCTCCCAAATAATAATGAATGCATAAAACACTTTCATCTGAAGTTTACAAAAATATAAATATTATATAATTTCAGAATTTTAGAGCTGCAAAAGGCCTTAGTGATAATCTGGTCAAACTCCTCCCCTAATTTTCTAATGAGGAATTGAAGCCTTCACTCACAGGCTAAATAACCCACCTCAGGCCTTTTGCTATGTTAGCAAGGATGGAACTCTTCCCTCCTGCATCTCTGTATGTGTCACATATTTGGGCTGAGCTCTTGAAAGGACTAGTTTACTTTGAATAGAAACAGACTCTGCATAGCTACTATGCTACACTTTTATGCTATGTCTTTTACAGTTATATAATGCAAAAGCAATATGTTAATCTTTGACTTAAAATGTCATACCAACAAACTTGTGATATATTGCAACCGTTTTATTAATATGATGGACTGGGTTATGTCTTTTAACAGGAGTATTGATTCACTACCATGAATGTGTTTCGATACTTTGCTGCAGTATCATACTTGATTCAGTCAAATTATGTGTGAATTACTTTCACTTTCACACGTATAAAACATTTACATTTCATTGTTTGATAGAACAGCACACAGCCATGCACCCCTTCTTTCTGGTTTATATGCATGTAAATATGCTCACATAAAATGTATTTTTCACCACTCAAGGACTTCATAATATATGAACTTTTCATGACACTATTTCTGCTCTTTTTTTTTTTAATTGAAGGGGGGTAAAACAATACTGTGGTACAAAAGACCTTCTTACAAGGTTCTTTCTGGAGAAGTGTTTGAGAATACAGTTATAGTCCTATAATGACTGTAATCAAGCTCATCCTACAAGGACATGAAGGTAGATTCACTCTCCTGGAGAGTTTCTGATCTTAGTAAGAATATTATGACTGGGGGGAGATATTATAAAGACAGTCCAGCAGAAGACTCTCCTAGAAAGATATTTTGAACATAAATCAAACCTATAATGACTGTCGTAAAGATGACATGATAGTTGAATAGTTTTGCTGAAGAAGTCTGTGTCTAGAAAGACACTCAAAAATGTAATTAAACGCTGTTATAATTTTTATGTTTTGTGAAACTAATAGAGGCCACGAAAGCAGAAAAATGTAGCACTATAACAAAATAAGGAAACACTTTTGAAGAATAAACACTTAACACGTAAAATTTTTAAATGGTATCTAATAAATTTTCATGTCAGATTTTTTAACCAAACATATAAAATTTTTAAATGGCAACTAATAAATCTTCATGTCAAATCTTTTAACAAAATCCACAAATTGATTATAAAAATTGAACAATCATAAATGTCTTATGTATAAAGTTTGAAGGGAAAGTTTAAATTTCTACATTATACTGTTTAATCAAATACTTGAGGAGTTTTAGTTACTGCTGAGGAACAGTCAGTACATTTCTAAAATAATTCAGTTATGAAAATAGTATCACAATTAAGGTTTGGCATAGTAGCATTCCAGCAATCTTCAGTCATCCACAAACATTAACCGTCCAGGCCCTTCATTCTTCATCCATCTCCTATATCTCTTCCATCTAGGATCATTTGCTAATCTTTTCTTTAGTTCCTCTTCTTGTTCCTGTTTGTAGACCTGTAAGTATAAATAACATAAACTAACTTGACAATCCAAAGAGAAACATTTGTCATTAGCTTTATGGCATGTTTATATTTTTCAAATATAACTTTAGGGAAAAGTTTCCAATGAATGTATTGGTTTGTCTTCTGAAGACCATGCACCTAAGATTACTAAGCAATTAAGCACTTTAATGTTCAATGTTAAATAAAAAAGAATAACTTGTGCAAGAACTAGTAATTTTTTTCACTGATTTCTGTAACCTGGAAATACATTCTTTTCCTCCTTGAAATCATATATAAGCTGAGTTTAAAGGGTTTAAACATTTCCTCTCTACGACTAATGTCCAATATTAAAGAGTCAACACTTTATTTTTCTAACATGGTACTCTGTAAATTTAACAGATGACTTTCAGTTTTGTTGATCCTAACCAAGGAACAAAGTGACCTTATAAATACATTTGTCTCCAAATTGAACTTACAACTAATTTTATCTTCAATGATAATTATTGGTTTTTCAAAATATTTTTAAAGTTCCCAAAGAAGGTTAAATAAACCACAGAGGTTAAGAACAAAGAACATCTTTCATTTCTATAACCTTTCATGTCTATCAGTTGAAGCTAAATGGACGTGTTTTCATAACCAGTTTCACAGCCACATCTAATTTCAGAAAGAAATTATTTTACTTCCAAATTTCAGGAAGTAACAACTAAGATAACCTCATGTAATAGCATGATAATTCAGCCCAGGATAGCACTCTATGACAGAGAGTTTACTGTATAGTGGGCAGCTTCAACTACTTAAAAGTGAAAACTTATCAAATAATTTAGGAGCTACCATGTTACCTTCCATTTTTATGTTCTTTGTAAGTAGGCTGAATATATCTACTTGCCAAATCATTCTGGCAATTCATAGTACAGTTTAACACAACAAATTAGACCATACTTTAAATTTTTAGCGTTAGTAAATTAAAGTATTTGAAGTTCATCTTTTTTTTTTTTGTGGTACGCGGGCCTCTCACTACCATGGCCTCTCCCGTTGCGGAGCACAGGCTCCGGACGCGCAGGCCCAGCGGCCATGGCTCACGGGCCCAGCCGCTCCGCGGCATGTGGGATCTTCCCGGACCGGGGCACGAACCCGTGCCCCCTGCATCGGCAGGCGGACTCTCAACCACTGTGCCACCAGGGAAGCCCTGAAGTTCATCTTTTAAAAAGACAAATTATAGGTTAAAAACCCACTGTTCCACTACTAAATATAGTCATACAGTCAACAAAAGTAAGATCTTTCTATATTTAACTCTTCAATTTCAGAAATTTGAGCACACTTCTGTGATCCCTTGTCACACACCTAGTTTTAAGTTGGTAAGGAAGGTTACAGTAATTACTCACCTCATAATTCTCCTTTATCCAAAGCTCCCGTTTAAGAAAAGTTTCTTTCTGATGATCTTCTAGACTATCAAACTGAGACTTTGACATCTTCATAGATTTACGTATGATATATAGTCTTTCTTCTTCCCCATATTCTTTGCCTTTGATGTTAAAATTATAGATCCACCGGCAATACCAGACTATATATGAGCACAGGTGAAAGGGAGCTAAGAGAATTTGAAACAGGAGAAGGTCACGGAACTGGGGTTTCTGATAGCCTCCCTTTATATCTATTTTACTTTTTATAATGTTCTTTATGATGTTCTCCTCCTCGTCGCGAATTTCCTCTTTGGACTTTTTGTTTCTGCCCTTCTCTTTGGCTTTTCTCAGCAATCCCTGCTGCTTGGCAATCTCCATGGCTTGGATACGGTACTTGGGCACCGTGGCCAGGTAGCTGATTGCCTTGTTGTAGCTGTTCCACCAGCTGAAAAACTAGAATATTTAACAAAGAAAACTGGGTCATTTTTATTACAAAATTCACCTTGGTGAACACAACCCCCCCCCCCGGGCCGCCAAAACCTATTCTGATTAAAAACAGGGACCTCAAAAATCTTACTCTCTAAGTTGAAGATACAGTTGAATAATGCCCATGTGGACACGGGATCTCCAGGCCTGAAAGTCAGATAAGCCCTGAGCTGAGCCAAAAAGCCACCGATTCTCTACAGGAGACACCCAGGATCAGAGGATGGATCATTGGAATCACATCACACCTGTTGATTTCACATCTTTACCATTTGACTCTTCCCTAGATCACAATTAAGAAATCCCTCTTCTTCTATTTTTTTTTAAGATTGCAGTCTACTTACTGGAGGAAGAATCGAATGGTAAAACTAGCTGGTGAGGAGTTTCTTTCAAACAATCCCTGGGTATAGACTCGGGCAACTCTAAACCATCTGCACATACCACAGTAACGCTCGTCACATTCTGAACTGAAAGATTCAAATATGTTTGAACTCTTTACTTATTTGGACAGGAAGACATTAAGTCACTTCATAAATATATTCAACCACAAAGGGTTTTATTATCAGAAAAAGTCCTACTCCTCATATAGTAACTCCACACATTTCAGCTATTTTACTGAATAAATACAGCAGTTGTACCAATAATATCTTGAAATATTATAGTAGCAATCTATTAGGAATAGCAAAAAAAAAAAAGTGATTAGGGTATTACATTATCTAAAACAGAAAAGTAAAGTTGCCCTTCCTCTCCCTGTTGAAAAGGCAACACTACAAAAGCTGATACGTTTAAAATATACAGCTTTAGGGCTTCCCTGGTGGTGCAGTGGTTGAGAGTCCGCTGCCGATGCGGGGAGCACGGGTTCGTGCCCCGGTCCGGGTGGAATCCCACATGCCGCGGAGCGGCTGGGCCCGTGAGCCATGGCCGCTGAGCCTGCGCGTCCGGAGCCTGTGCTCCGGCAGCAGGAGAGGCCACAGCGGTGAGAGGCCCGTGTACGGGAAAAAAAAAAAAAAAAAAGTATATATATACAGCTTTAGTTTTCAATAGGAATTCTTTTGTCATATCGATTGAATTTCATTTCTGGGAATTAAACTGGAGAAGTAATTCTGAAACTAGCAAATTGCTTCATTCTAGTCACTTGGCTTTCTTTTTTCTTCTAAAGGAGGATATGATAGGTGTGGTTAGTTGAGGAATAATAGTAGGGAAAACTCATTTCAGGCTAAACTTGTATTTCTGTGATATTTTAAAACAACATAAAAAGTTACTGTAGCACTTTTAGTCTATTTCAGTGGCTCTCATACTGAGCAGGAGTGCCCTTAGCCATCATGTGGAAATGTGTGAGACATTTTTGTTTGTTACAATGATGGCAAGCTCTACACTCCTGGCATTTGGCGGGTAGGTGCCAGGACTTGTTAGGCCATATTAAGGAGTTTGGAATTTTCCCCAAGTTTAATGGGAAATCATTGAAAAGTCCTATGAAGGTAGTTTGGTCCTCGAACAATACGGGGGGGGGGCACCACCCCGTGCAGAGTCTGAGTGCAGCATATGGTTGGCCGTCCGTATGCACGGCTCCTCCCTATCCTCCGATTCAGCCAACCTCAGAAGGTGCACTGCTGCGGGTCGGCACTGCAGTTAGTGAAAAGAATCCGTGTGTAAGTGGACCACTGCAGTTCCAACCCATGTTGTTCAAGGGGTAAATGATATGGTCTAGTTGGCATTCACTCTGGCTGTTATATGGAAAATACTCTAGAGGGGGTAAAAGAGAAAAAGATCTGACTTTTTTGTTTGTTTGGTTTTGACAGTTATATAATGACATTCATGATTTCTTAGATTGCCTGCCAACAAAGATTCCAATGTTATCTATTGGTTAAATAAATATTTTTCTAATATAAAAAATTAATCTCACCTGGAAGTAAAATTCTACAAAAAGGTACTTCTAGTTCAGTTTTAACGACTAGCACTAGCCAATGTGCACTCCTGCACATGCACGTAGATACACACATCCATCAATACACACCTGAAACACTGAAATAGCACACACACTGACCAAGATCACAACTCTCACATCCACTTTAGGGGCTAAGCGCCTGCTGTAGTAGTGGTAGTAATGGCTGTAGTACTCTTCTGGGTGATCCAGCATGTAATCATAATCTTTTCGAGTTTCTTCATCCTGTAAAATAACAAGATATCCAGTTTCATAGGACAGCTCATAAAATGGTCTTAGTTAATAATCTGTTAAAGTCAAATCTAGAATTTTGTAATTATGTAATCAATCTGAATAAAAGAACAAACTGTTAAAATCAAAAAATTTCCCATAATTCCTCAAAGGGACACACAAATTTGTTTCCAGAACTTTAATACTAGGTATAAAGCATAATAAAAAAATTTCCTCAAATTCTTGAGGAGTATTAGTCCTCCTGGAAAAAATAAAAACACTTCAGTAGCAATGAACCATGCCTTTTTAGCCCGTGCTGTGGTGCTAATAAGGAGGTCGCCGTGTTCTTATAATTTAAGAGCATGTTGACACCTACTCTCAGTAACTGTTGATAGAAAAAAAAGGAATGTTTATCTCTGTTGTATATATTCACAATCATTTCCCAACCTTGTATAGAAGGTTTTCTTTTGAAAGCAATGATTAAAACAACAAAAAAGTAGACAAAACCAGTCTATGCCCTCAAAATTGAATTATGCTCATCCCAAGGAAACATTAAGACATCGATGCAGTATAATGGTCAAAGTCTAGCTTTGTGATATCAGGCAAAAATTTTAGCCTCTCTGAGCCTCACTCTTCTTCACTTGTAACTTAGAGATATGAATAGCTGCCCTACTAATTTTACAGGGTTATTTTGTATATCAGATGACATACAGTATACAAAAACAGGTTAAAAATATGTAGTATTCACTATTATAACACATTTTCACAGCCCAGTTCATAAATAAGGTAATATATCGCTCTTTCTTAGTCATGCAAACATGTTGAAAAAATTATAGCATTCTGAAATGCTGCTCAAATGGTCACAAATAAAGCATTTCTTAAAACCTTCTCTAATTTTAACCAGTTTCTAAAAGGTATAAACGCCAATCTTTTACTGAGCTACATAGGTTGAAAAGCTACCAAACTAGGTTATGATTTGCTTTTTTTTTTTTAAGCCCACAGGAAACCTATTTTTCAGCTTGTCTTGTTTCCAAAAAAGTGTTAAAGACTAAAACTACAGCAAATTCTTTACTCTGTATAAGTGAATACAACATAAACCATTATGAAAAAAAATCTTTCTTTAACCTAGATGATTTCTTTCTTTGATAAATTAATTATTCAACATACATAAAGTTGCAGATTATTAGCTCAACATTTCAAAATCTGCACTTAGTGCTTTGTCACCACAGAGGCACTCGGGTCTGTTCAGGGCCTCCTCCCGAGTCCTCCAATATGCTGTTTCTTAGATTTAAAATAAGAAGTTTGCTAATGATAAATCTTTCCTGTACCCATTAATATCATTATATATTTTCTATTAAGAATTCTGAATTTGAATGAGCACATTCTCAGTAACAGTTCTTTTTTTAAAAAAATAAATTTATTTATTTTTAATTTATTTTAATTTTATGTTTGGCTCCGTTGGGTCTTTGTTGCTGCGCGCAGGCTTTCTCTAGTTATGGTGAGCGGGCTTTCTCTAGTTATGGCGAGCGGGGGCTACTCTTCGTTGCAGTGCACAGGCTTCTCATCGCGGTAGCTTCTCTTGTTGCAGAGCATGGGCTCTCGGTGCGCGGGCTTCGGTAGTTGTGGCATGCGGGCTTCGGTAGTTGTGGCTCACAGGCTCAGTAGTTGTGGCGCACAGGCTTAGTTGCTCCGCGGCATGTGGGATATTCCCGGACCAGGGCTCGAACCCGTGTCCCCTGCATTGGCAGGCGGATTCTTAACCACTGCGCCACCAGGGAAGCCCTCAGTAACAGTTCTTACGCTCATTACATTCAAAATATTTTTTACCTCTGACTAGAATTTGAAGCTAGATGAAGTAGTATCTAGTATACTTAGATGTAAATATATTTAAAGTCTATTCCATGGCACTGTATGGAGGGCCAATATGCGAATCATCTATTATATAAGGAAAGCTGAGCTCAGGCTGGTATTATTTTCAAATTCACTCCTTGTATGTTCTCTTCCATTAGAAAAGATTTTCTTGGGAGTTCCCTGGTGGCCTACTGGTTAGGATTCCAGCCTTTCACTGCCGTGGCCTGGGTTCAATCCCTGGTAGGGGAACTGAGATCCCGCAAGCTGCGTGCCACACGCCTCAACTGTTAGTCCATTCCTCCTATAAGCCATCATCATATTCTAGAGTTTCTAACCGAAAGAGGGTAAAACGTTACAGGTCATACAGATAGCTCTGAAGACTAAAGCCTATGTCCCTTGATGTATTTCATTCTGAGTACTTCAAGACATCCTTTGAGAATTTTTCCATTCTCCCTCCATTTTTTTGCCCTTTTGGCTAATTTTATAGATATGCTCTGCTTCTGGCCTGAATTCGCTGCCTTTTATACTCAGCCTCCAAATCTTGGCAGATGCTTTTTGAAATGTATTTCTTCAAACACGATTCTTCTCCTTGCTCCAACTAGATTACAAGTAGTTTTGAAACTAACTGCCCCTCTGAGATGAGATTCCTACAGTCCTCCAGCATCACTATCTCTGCACAGTCCATTGCCCATTCTGACTGTCTGTACTCCTCCTGGTTGAAGTATACAGCAAGATCTGTGAGTGTCACTGAAATCTGCTCTGTGAACGTCATGCGTCTAGTGGCTGTTCTCTCGTTTGTTCTCTTATCTTAGTGAAGGTCACAGTCCACAGAATGCAGATATCCTTCTTCAAGCTTTTCACCCATATCTTCCCCCAGAGTCACCATCTTCTCACTGGTCCCTAGATTTGTGACAGAGCTTCATTTAACAGGATGGTCAGCTAATGCTCCAGTACCAGCAACTCCAAAATTTATACCTTATGTCTAGCCTCTCTACTGTAACCAGAGCCTGTAGGGTCTATTCAGGGCCCTCTATAATGAGTCCTCAAACTACCTCATCCCTGTAAAAGGTTTCAGGGTCAAGTCTGACTTCTCTTAGAATAGTTTTCTTTTCCCTGGGGCCACCATAATTTCATGGCCCTGTTTTGGTCATGATTAGAGACAAGAAGGTCTGCGATCTCCTTGTTACAGCGTTTATTCAGCCACAGTCTTCTTTCTTTAATGTGTTTAAAGCTTTCTCTCCAGAATGAAGAAAATGGATTTTAGGCTGAGGCATGCATAATACACTTTACAAGGTTGTTCAAGGTTGGCACAAATTGAAGAGTTAGGGATTCTCAACAATCTAAGTCAAAGTCCTACTCTTCAGTAGCCTACTAAGTTTAGAATCAACCTAATATGAACACAGGATACCAGGAATATTAGCAAAAAAGAAAAGACAGACTGGGACCCAATTAGAGAGTTTCACGTACATTCTTACATATTTTTATTTTTAATACCATATATATATTTTTTTCCTACCCATCTTGGGACTAAAGTAGCCTCACAGTTTTTTTGTTTGTTCTGTCCAATGCTTCCCAGTGTCTAGTAAGGCAAGTTCAATTTTCCTTGTCATGCAACAAGGCCTCCATAACTGACCCAAACTTACCTACTTAAGAAACATCTTATCACTCTCCCTTCTTTTGCCCATAGCAAACATTCAGATAGCAATTTCTGGAATTTGGTGTGTTCTTCAAGTACAGCATGCTCTTTTATATCTATGACTGAACAGATAATTCACTTTAACTCAAATGCCCGTGCCTTTCTTCCAACCTCACGCGCTCCTATTAATCCTTTAGAACATAAACATTAGCAGACAGATTTAGACCACTCTTATTACACTTATTACCTATTTATTATAGCACTTATCACATTGTAATCATCAGTTTTTTTCTTTTCCTTGAATGAGAACTTCTAGACGGCAGGTAGGGTGATTCCTTAATCTCTGTATATCCAAGGCCTAGCACAGTGCCTGGCATTCAATAAATATCATTTCAAAACTGAATGAAATTTTGTAAAGGCTCTCCCTTACTCTAGACATCTCTCCAGCCACACAGGTCTCCATCTCACAAGGAAGGCGAGATGGGTGATTAGGCCACAAAAACTTGGGCTTGGCAGAAATGACTGCTTGACTTCATAGCTTATGAAGATACGCTAATGTGGCTAAAATAGCTTAAACCTTAAAACAGTGTAATATCTTACCTTTCAATAAGGTAGTACTTTTTCTTTCAGCAATTTTGTGGATCTTAAGGTCCCAGGGTCAGGAGATTCCAACTTCTTTCCAAAACCAAAACCTTTATACTTGTTTCTTCCTCCTCTCTGTCCTGAGCCTTGACAAGCAGGGCAATAAGCTCCTTGTTTCTAATCTCTACAGGAAAAAATGGTGCTTCTGCTGGTGTCCACTCCACTCCCAATCCTCTTGGGCATATGCAGGAGGACTGGAACATAACCACCAATATCTAGATCAAAAGTGAACAAGAGGAAACCCACAAGCAAAGAAAGCACTGAACCCTTCCTTCTCTTATGAAAATGATCATTCCCCCCTCCCCAGAGGCAAAAATATATTATGCTCTTGTCCTTGAAAGAAATAATGAATTGTTTGGTTTCAATAAACATAAATTGCAATAATTAGATATTGCAGCCAGGTTCACATTAAAAATCTTCGATTATACAAATAATAGAAACCATTTAGGATGGCAAAGGCCAAGAATCAATAATATATGAAAATATAGTAATCGTTTGTTCATTCTTAAATATATATAGTAATCCTGTTTTTAAGAGAAATACACATACAAATGATCCTTTAAAAAAATAACATCTGTTCCCCTAAATTTTTTTCCAGGCCATTACACCCTACTAAAGAGGAAGAAAGTTAACTGCTCTGAGTTTTCATTTCTCTTCCTGTTCCCTACCCACCAGCCACTCGTGCAACTATCTTCTACGTCTTCTCTTCTCAGTCTACATGTGGTTATAGCAACTTCCATCATTTGCAGTATCACCTATATATCATATACGAGTGACACTCAGATCTGTTTTCCCTGCTCCTACTATTTTCAGATACCTCCTGAACATTTCCTAAATGTAACATAAATATCTCAGATTCAACATGCTCAAAACCCAAATCTGCTCC